ATCATGGACTCCAATTTCGTCCATAATACGTACACATTTGTGAACTCGGACACGTGCTCAAAGAGGTTTTTGTCAATATATTTCCTGATCATGGCTACCGCCTTTTGACTCAGGATCTCCTGCTCCTTATCAGTTTTGCCTTCAAGCCTCTCATCAATGGACAATTGGCTCATATAGGTCTTTACAGTACAGATGTTCTTCCATCATCGGTCTCCTGTAAGTAAAGTTATCCGCAGTTAGCTTGAACATGTCATGTTATGTGAAACGTCACTGGTCTCCATCTCGTCTCCTTTAGAACCCGTCGAACTCGGGCTCTGATACGACTGTTGGGAACTTGGTTCCCTCAACTAGGCTAAGAAGCCTCTGCGGAAGTCAAACGTCAGGCTCGGAGCTCGGTTATCACAATCCGAGGTAGGCATGAATCACCAGGTCAACCTATGCGCAGTAGAAATAGAAAATTATGAAGGAGAGAAAGATGAACACATGCATATTTTAATGTGGGAAAACTTCTCCCATGTGAAGAAGTAAAAACTCACCGGATACTAGTCCAGAATCAAACTTTCACTATGAAAATAATGGGTTACAAGAATCAAGCTTCACTAAGACAGTGGTACATTCAAACATCACCTACAATGGTGATTTTATCTCAAACTTCTCTAAAGAGGTGTAACACTCAAGCTTCTCCCTAGAGGTGCTCTCAAAATTAAAGCTTTGAGCTTTTCATTCAAAACCCTTAAATCTCACAAGCCAACCTTACCTCCATCCCACAAATAATGCATATATATGGAGGAAGAAAGTTTAGGGTTACTTGAACCCCAAGTTCCTTGACAAACTTGAGCCCCAATTTTCATCAACATAGGGCCTTGTACATTGAAGGAGGAAAAACCCAACAACCATATATCTCCAAAATATCCTATTGCTTCCTCCACAATGAATTGTCTATATCCAAGTTTTCTGATTGTTGACTAAGCCTAGACACCATTAATGAGTGGTTCCAAAATAAAAGCGACTTTGATTCCATACCTTCTTTTGAAAGTGTGCATTATTCGACTAAAAGATATTTTTCATGCTCCCCTACAATTCTACTTCAAAATATTTATTGATTAATATTTGGTAACTACAGCTCAGGCTGGTCACCCACACTCATGTCCTTTGTTATTGTATGCATATTTTGGTCTTCATCGCATGTGAATAAGGGGTATTGTACAAAATTAATGACTTACTCTAGTGTGGCTTGCAAAGGGTTTGGAGGTTTATGAAAGTCTAAATCATGCATGGCTGTAGAATGGTCACTAGGGTGGGATTGTGCACTATTCAAAACCCCTTTTGGAGCTGTTGTCAGTTGTGGTTTGCTTGAGTTTTCTCCTTCTGGGTTAGTTATTATGTCTTTCGCCACTTACATGGATGATTCGTTGTTGGGACTTGGGACTACGCTGCTCATGAATGGTTTGAGTAGATTCCGTATAAAAGTCTAAATTAAGTTTTGTGTGTATTAGACGGATTCTACTCCAAAATTACATTATCTTGCTGATGTTATTTGACTTAACATTAGTGGAAGTGCAAATGAGTGGACAAATACCCTTCAGTGCTCATATACATCGGCTGAATGGGTAAAGAAGACGGCTGATCAAAATCAACTTCAACATATATCTCAATAAATTTTTGCATATTCTAGCTATCAAATATATCAAATAAACAATTCACATCTTCATTGTCGTTGACATTGTTACCAAGATACTACCCATTAGTAATCTCAATTTTGGTTATCAAGCAAGAAATGCATTTGTTACTTTGGAGCTCTAATTTTTGTTGAATTCTCCTCTTGAAATCGTTGTATGTAATGACACATTTTATTTGCATTGTTTTCGTTGGACTTTCAAAAAATGCACCATTGGAACTTTCAAATTGCCGACCATTATGGTGAGCAATTTGAACATATGTTTTGGAATTTGAGCTTATCTTTGTCACAGATTTTGATTAAGGTTTGAAGATGAGATAAGATTTTTGCACAAAAATTAGAATATCTATGTGTAATAATAATGATTTAATAAGGGTAAAGGTTTAAGGATGGTGGGGTGAAAGTAAATTTGCTGGGTTGAAAGAAAGATGAAAAAACGAGTGGGAATTTGGGATAAAAAAACATTAATGATGGAAATGTGGTCGAAACCACCGTTATAAGCTTTTGGGTCAGTTACTCAAATAACTGTCCGTCAAAAGTAGTCAAACTATGATATATTGATATATAGTTTTGATAAATGATTAAAATTATTAAAGGGAAGTTATTCTATTTACTTTTTTTTATGCCTACTTTACTTATCACTTTTCAATATTATTAGATCAAAATCTCAACTAATCTTTATTATTTTTTTATCCTCTCAATATTATGATCTAATGGTATTGGAGAGTTGTAGGTAAGGTAGGCATGAAAAAAATAAATAAAATAATCTATCTCATTATTTAATAGTAAAAAACAAGGCATGATAATATTTTTGAGATAACTTATTCTATTTACTTTTTTTCGTACTTATCATTTTCCAACATCGTTAGATCATAATATTAAAAGAAAAGAGATGATAAATCTTAATTAAGATTCTGATATAAAAATGTTGTAAAAATAATAGACAAGATAAACATTAAAAAAAATTAGGTAGAATCTCTGATACACGGATAGGTCTTTTTTTAGAAATGATGTGTGTCGGGCACGTGTCCGACACGTTTGGACACGCGTCCGACACGCAGACAATTATTTGAGACACGTTGACTTTTTGGACACGCGATTTTTCCCGTGTCCAACACGGTCAAAGGGTAAAAATGTAAATTTTTTGATATTTTATAAAATTAAAATCTGTGTACTGACCGGGAAAACCTCTTCCAAGGTTTCCATGGTGTGAAGGGCCCATTTTAGGCAATCTCAACCTCATTTTCTTCACTTTCATCATCCACCATTGATCTCTCCAAACAGAAGAAGGAGACATCAAATAACACAGGCACATGCCATCGCCGTCGTCAAGCTCCAAACAGTACGAAGGAAACCGCTGTCGTCAAGCTGCAAGCAGAAGTGAAAGAAAGAAAACAAAAAATGAAGAAAGAAGAAGAAAGAAAACAAAACGGTTTATTTTTTTATTATTTCGTCTTATCCTCATGTACTGGCTAGTGGCTGCTAAAAACGAGGTTAGACACGTGAGATACACGCGCGCGTTCCTTTCTATCTGTTAGGGCAAAAGCAATGGGTTCTACGAAGGAAATCTTAGCAGCATCATCAGAAATCGCAATGGAGAATAAGGAAAGTATGAGAAGAAGTATCAAGAGATCCAAAAATGGGGAGGAATTCTCCCGTGAATCGTCTAACAGGCCAGCTTCGGGAATATCCAAGAGCGAATTCCCTCTGGTAAGTTCAAATCGTTTGCAGATGCACTAAGAACTGATGGAGTTTTGATGGAGGAAGATGATTCTTGGCACGAAGACGCTATGGAGGAACCTTGCGAACCATTTGATCCTGCGCTCGGCGAAATCAACGAGCTGGGGTTCTAAGTCAGTTACGGAGACGACGGCTCTGTCAGCTTCAGGGGTTCGAAGGAGGCCAAGCTAAGGCTAAGGAGTCCCTGGAAGAATACTATTATTGTCAAACTTTTAGGGAAGAAGGTGGGGGTTGCGTATATGAAGACCAAGCTGGAGAATTTGTGGTCGCGACTGAGATCTATTGTTGTAGCAGATTTGGGTAATGACTTTTTCTCAGACAAGTTTTCGAGCGTGGAGGATCTCAACCTGGCGCTCACAGGAGGCCCATGGGTACTAATGAGGCACTATCTTGCCATCCGCCGTTGGGAGCCGTTCTTCAACCCTCACAAAGAAAACATCCATAGAGTTGCTGCTTGGATTCGGCTTCCAGGTATCCCTTTAGAATATTGTGTCCATTCTGTGTTGAAAATGATATGAAGCTCCATTGGAAAAGTTTTAAAGGTTGATAGGACTACCTCTTTGGGTGATAGGGGCAAATTTGCCAGGATCTGTGTTGAATTAGATTTATCCAATCAGTTGAGGGGTGAATATATCCTAAAAGGGGAAGTTTTTAAGGTAGAGTATGAAGGACTGTATTTAATTTGCCTTAACTGTGGAAAATACGGTCACAATATAGACAAATGCTCAGAGCTCAAGAAGCCGGTTGTAAGTACCGACAAACAGGATCCTCTGCCAGAAGCAGCTAAACCTACTTGTAATCAAGGAGTGGGCCCTTGGATGGTGGTGCAGAAAAAAAAGTTTGTGAAACAGCAACCTAATACTAAAACTGCTGGGCAAGAAGGCAGAACTTTTGGTGAGGACATCTCCAACAAAAAGAACATTAGTCACAGGAACAAATCCCCTGTGATAATACTAGGGCCTCCTCCCCCGAATTTGCAGCCTAACAATATTCTCTCTAGTTAGGAACCAGGGGAACTAAAAGAAAATAAAATTGCAAATCCCTCACAGCCTCCTCCTAGGGCAATAGCAAAGAAAAATGGCTTGAGTTACAAGAAGTCTCCTCCTAAAGGCAGTTATAAACCCAAGTTTCAAAACAAGGGTAGTACATTTGTGTTTACATCGAAGCCCCTTCTAGCAGACACTAGCTCTAGCTCAGTAGAGCTCCCTTCATCCAGTTCTTTGAACAAGCAGCTCCCTCAAACACAGGATCATATTAACCCAGTTGATCCGACTAATGGGCCAAGAAATGAGATCCCCTCTCTGGAGATTGAAAAGGATCTGTGTTCTAAAATCTCCACAACCAGAATTAGTGGAAATTTTGTATCTTCCCCGGAGTGTGAATCTAGTGTTGTGGAAGAAGAGAATTCTGCAATAGATATTGGTAAGAGCAACAGTGATGAACAATTGAATGGGACTGATCCCCCTAACAAGGTAAATCTGCAAGGAATGGATGTTGTGAACAGTGTTTGTGTTGTGGCTACGGACCAATTGATTGAGAGTGCTCAGGAACTCAATAATCCTGATTATGAGATGTTTATCCAATGAATTGCCTTGTCTGGAATTGCAGGGGTGCAGCTAAGAAATCCTTTAAAATGACCCTGTGTAATCTCACTAAGAAGTACAAGGTTGGTTTGGCAGCAGTTTTAGAGCCCATAATCAGTGGGTTCTCAGCTGCTAGGAAAATTAAACAACTGGGATTCAAAAACTACCTGATTGAGGATGCAGTGGGATTCATGGGTGGTATTTGGATCTGTTGGAATGATGATTCTTTTAAGATTTCTCTCATTGAAAAAATTAACCAGTTCATTCATGTCCTCTGTACTTGTAGTAATGGAGCCAGCTTTCTCCTTACTGTTGTTTATGGCAGCCCTAGAGAGGAAGAGAGAAATGCTCTCTGGTCGGACCTTAGAAGAATCAGTGAGACTATCTCTGTTCTTTGGGCAGTTGTGGGGGATTTCAATGAGATTCTGAGTGCTAATGAGAAAAAAGGGGGTGCACCTATCAATGTAGCCAAATGTGCAAAGTTTATGGAGGTCCTTGATGACTGCAATATCATGGATCTTGGCTGTCATGGTGCTAAATACACGTGGAGAGGATCTAAATGGTTACACCTGGAGAGAGTTTTTAATAGACTAGATAGGATTTATGCCAATGCCTTATGGACAATTGCCTTCTCTGAGGCTACTGTTTAAGCTTTGCCAAGACTTAACTCAGATCACAACCCCCTGCTTCTCTCTTTTTGTCCCCAGGTGTCTACTTGGAGAGAGAGAGAGAGACCTTTTCGCTTTGTGGCTGCTTGGCAAGAGCATGGTGCTTTTCCATCCTTCCTCAAAGAGCATTGGAACCCCAACTTTGATGTACCTACCTCCTTATCTCATTTGGTCAATCCGCTGAGAATGTGGAATAAGCAGGTGTTTGGGGATATTTTGACTAAAAAAGAGATGCTGTTATTGAGTCTCCAAGATTTGCAAGCCAGAATTCATTCTACTCATGACGAGTCTCTCCCCCCTCTAGAATTCACTTTACAACAAGACATCACTGCTGTCTTAGAGGCAGAGGAAAGTCTTTGGTACCAAAAATCTAGAACCAAACGGATTGAAGATGGGGACAAAAATACAAGATTTTACCATACCACTACTATGATCAAGAGAGCTATGAGCAAGATTCTTGTCATTAAAAATGAAGATGGACACTGGTTAAAAGAAGAAGAGAGCATCATTAGACTCTTTCATGCATTTTATACTCATCTATTCACGGAAGATCACCTAACTAGGCCTTGGCACAATACCATAACAAAGTGGCCAACTCTATCCCAGCAAGAGGTGCGCAATCTGGATGCTCCCATTACTCCTCTAGAAATTCATCAAGCTTTCTTTAAAATGGGTGCTTTGAAGGCTCGTGGCCCGGATGGCTATCCAGCCTTATTTTTTCAGAAAAATTGGAATGTCATTGGAAAGCAAGCTGTGGCTTCTGTTATCCAACTCTGGCTGAATCTTGTGAACATACAAAACCCTACTGGTACTGATTCCTAAAGTTCAAAAACCTGAAAGGGTTGCCCAGTTTAGACCGATTTCCCTCTGTTCAGTGTTGTACAAAGGGATTAGCAAAATCATTGTTAACAGGCTGAAGCCGTACCTTCAGAAGTTGGTTTCTCCCCACCAAGTCAGCTTTGTTCCTAACCGTAATATCCAAGATAACATCATCATTGTTCAGGAGATGATCCACACCATGAACAGGATGAGAGGGAAAAAAAGCTTTATGACTGTGAAAATTGACTTAGAAAAAGCATATGACCGTATTTCTTGGGAATTCATTCAGAAAGTCCTTGCTGAAATCGGTATTCCACCTAAGTTGATCTCCTTAATCATGGCCTGCATTACTTCTTCTGACTTTGATCTCCTCTGGAACGGAGCTAAAGCTGGAGCCATTCATCCTACTAGAGGTCTGAGACAAGGTGACCCTATTTCACCTTATATTTTTGTCTTATGTATGGAGAAACTCTCACATCTTATTGCTGATGCAGTAGAAAGTAACAGTTGGATACCCTTGAAAGCTGGTAAGGGTGGCCCAAATATTTCTCATTTGCTTTTCGCAGATGATCTTATGTTATTTGCTGAAGCGTCAGGAAGTCAAATCACCAAAATCATGGAGATCCTAAACCTGTTTGGTGATGTTTCTGGATAGAAAGTCAACAAAGACAAGACCAGTATTTTCTTTTCTAGGAATATTGATGAGGGTTTATCCAGGAAAATAACAGACATCTGTGGTTTTGCCCTTACTAAAAACCTTGGGAGGTACTTAGGTTCAATGATGAAACATGGCAGAGCTAGCAAGAGTCTTTATAGCGAAGTCCTGGACAGAATTCACAGAAGACTGAATGGCTGGTCTAAACAGAACCTCTCTATAGCTGGTAGAGTAGTCCTAGCTAATCAGTCATTTCCTCTATCCCTATGTTCCACATGCAAAATAACAATATACCTCTGGGGATCTGTGATGAAATTGAAAAAATTCAAAGAAGATTCATTTGGGGTGGCACTCAAGAAAAGAGGACAACCCATCTAGTTTCATGGGAGCAATTGTGCAAACCAAAGAGCTTGGGGGGTCTTGGCATCATAAACTTAAGGAAGCAGAATGAAGCTTTCTTAATGAAAATGGCTTGGTCTATTATTCAAGATCCCCACCAGCTCTGGTCTCGGGTTCTCCTTGCTAAATATGGGAGGAAGGTGGAGCTGCATGGTAAATGCATCAGCAAGGCCTATGATTCAAGACTTTGGAAGAATCTTTCTAAAATCTGGCCTCTGCTTCTGGACAACTTGATGTGGAACATTGGTGATGGCAAAAATACCAATTTTTGGCTTGATGATTGGCTTGGAGATATTCCTAAGCTGTTAAATGTTGCAATCATGGAACCTCATCCTCTTCTTATTGCTGAAACCGTGGCTGATCGCACTGATAAAAACTCCACCAACTAGAATTTCACCTTTCTTCAACATTTCTTTGATCAGCAAGTGGTTAACAAGATAGCAGCCATTCCCCCTCCCACTGCTGCAGCTGGGTGTGATGTGCTTGCTTGGAAAGGTTTGAATCCATCGACCTCTTTGGTCAAGAAGGCTTACTCAAGCCTGATGAAATTTGATGCATTTTCTCCAAACTTTCACTGGGATATTATTTGGAAGTGAAAAAGTTCCTGAAAAATACAAATTCCTGATTTGGAAACTTGCTCATGGAAGGATCCTAACCAACCACTTAGTAGCCAAGTGGGGAAATACATCTGACAGGTGCCACCTCTGCCTTGATAAGACAGAAACCATTCTCCACGCCTTCAGAGATTGCCCCGTGCCTCTAAATTCTGGAACTGCTCTTTGTTCCCTGCTCAACCTCTTTTTTTCTTTACTGAGCAAAATTTGCGCATCTGGTTAGAAAACTGCTTATTATTTTCTGATGTGAGGCAGCCTAATTGGAGAGATTTTTTCTTTATCTCTTGTTGGTATATCTAGCTGTGGAGAAATAAAGATTGTCATGAACAAGACTTCAAGAGGCCTGATAATGTGACTGTAGAAATTCAAAGAACTTGTGTTGAATTGTCTAATGTTAAACAGGTGCTCAGTTCAACCTCCAGAACAGCTAGTAACAGGTTGCTCACTCCTTGGATTCGGCCAGTGTTGGATTGGCTCAAATTGAATGTTGATGGAGCTGTCTCTTCTAAAAGAGCAGCTTGTGGGGGTCTCTTGAGAAACAAGGACGGAGGTTGGGTAAGTGGTTTTCAAGCTTTTCTGGGTACTTGCTCTCCCCTACATGCTGAACTGTGGGCTATACTCCATGGGCTCGATCTAGCATGGCAGCTAGGTATTTCCAAAGTTGTTGTTGAGAGTGACTCTTCTCAAGCAATCAACTTGCTTTCCCCCAGTGGTAAAGATGCTCGACAACTGCCCTTGGTAGTTAGGATTCGAGCTTTAATTGACAGAAACTGGATGACTGCTTTCTCTTTCACAAATAGAGAAGCTAATAACTGCGCAGATTGGCTAGCAAAAGATGCTCTCTCCAAGCACCTTGGTGTCTACTCCCTTTTGAACCAACTGGGTGAACTTCAATATCTGTTGGAGATTGATGCCTAGATCCCTGCTGGCCAGCCACCTGTGTGGAACCCTGATTAAGAATCCCATGTGTTGTTGCTTTGTGTTTTTTCGTTATGCAGTAGTTTAATTTATGTTCTGTTGTTGTTGCTTTCTTTTGGGGCTTTGCCCCTTGTCTGTACCAAAAACAAAAAAACGAGGTATCCATAGTTTTCTTTTTCTTTTTCTTTTTTATTAAAAATGAGCTGTTATCCAATGTTACTTGAAAGATGAGTATGCCACGTATAGATGTTTTTCAAATTTTGAACAGATCATTAATTGTGGCTTAATTAATAACTCTATTTTTCACTTTATGTTTTAAGGGATAAAAATTTACTTTTCAAATTTATGTTATAAAATTTAAATATTTGATTAATTATATAATTTATTATGTATTATTATATGTATTAAATATAAATTATATTATATATATTAAAAATTTTATTTAATATCAAAACGTGTCTCAACGTGTCGAAATATAACATTTTTTAGAATTAACGTGTCCCGTATCTGTGTGCGTGCATTGTAGGGTAGCTAGAATAACTATCGCAACATATTTTTTTTAAAAACCTGGCAAAAGGGAATATAAACACATTTAAAGGAAGTGGGAGAAAATCAGAAAGGCGAAGGAGAGGGAGAGAAATCGGAGATGTCATCACAGGGGAACGATCCACGCATGCCATCAACGGCGAAGCCGTATGTGGCTCCGCCGGTTTCCCCGCAAGACATGCCGATCGATTACGCGGGTTTCATCGCCGTCGTATTCGGCGTCGCCGGCGTCATGTTCAGGGTTTGAATTTGTAGCTCCTCTACGTTCTTCGTTCATTGTTTTGATGGATCTTACAATCTTCGTTGCATTAATCTATTTTTTTTTTTTTAATTTTTGTGTGAAATCAGTACAAGCTGAGCTCGTGGCTGGCTCTCATATTCTGTGCGCAATCCGTTGCGAACATGAGGAATGTGGAAAATGATCTCAAACAAGTTATGATGGCTATGATGTAAGTTTCTTCATTCTTATATTTCTCCAGCATTACACTTGCGTTTGCATTCTGCTCTATGAATTTTCTTTGCAGATCCACGCATCTAATTATGTGAGTCGTTATTTTAAAATGGAACCACACAAAAAAAGGTTGAAAATGGTTCTTACATTTGGGAGCTAGTGTATTTTCCAGCAATGTCATGTAAGTTTATGAATTACAAACTTAGCACTTGAAAGAATACGAATTTTTCTATAAAATGGACCGAATCAGTAGGCTGGATCAGGAAAAATAAAAAAAGTCAGATTTGGAGGCTTACTTCAATAGCTTGATCAATTATAAGTTGAAATCAGGAATGAGGAACTTTCCCTTATCCTTATTAAATTTTTTAAGTTGAAAGTTTTTTATCCTATTCACATGCTTCATATGTTCCAGAAATGCCAGGTATAATATCAAAATAAATTTTTACCCTGTCCACGTTCCAGTCTGAATTATCCTTGAGGACAAGAACCTGTGAAATATAGATCAAAGAATCTGAGGCTCAAGTCAATAAAATCTTGAGTCATGTTATCGGAGGGTCCTGAGTCTACGGTCCAGGATGTTGTTCTTTCCTAATTAGCATTCAAAGCATGTAAAATCTTGCCTTTCTGGGCTACAGACACTGTACAAAGATTAGGTCCATCATTTTTCATTGTCTGATGAAGTATTTCCATCTGCTCCTTGCTGAAGGGTTGTGCTTCAGGCATAGCATTTATCTTGTCTGTCTCTAGTATATTTCAAGAGGCTGTATTGCCATGATTGTCTCTTCCACTAGACGATTTTGCTTTGGCTGGTTTGCCATGAATGAACCATCATGTATCTTTTGTGTGGCCTATCTTCCAACAGTGTTCCCACAAGGTTGATTTTTCTTTTGTTGGGAGTGTGGCTGATTGAGCTGATGTTCATTAGCTACCATGGCTGAGCTCTCTGAGTAAAGTGCAGAGCTTCCTAATCTGATTTTCCTCCTACTTTCTCCCTTCTTACCTTAAAATATACTTCTTGAACCTTTGGTAGTGGCTTTGTTCCAAGAATGCCCCATGTACTTCATCAAGGTTCTTATTAAGTCCAAGCAAGAACTTGTAGATCTTGTCTTTCCTAACAATATTTTTGTATTGCTTGCTGTCTTTAGGGAACTTCTACTCGATTTCTTTGTAAATGTCAAGCTGCTGCCAATATCGAGTAACGTTGCAGGTCATGAAGCATGCTCTTGATTTCACAGAAAGGGGAGGTGTCATCCATATTTGAATAAGTCTCCTTTACTGTGTCCCTGATCTGTTTAGCAGTGTTGTAATACATGAAGTTTTCTTCAATCTTGTTGGTCATTGTGTTCAACAGTCATGACATCACCAGGTTGTTCTCGAGTCTCCATCTGTGGTGGTTGAAATAATCTTTCTCGGGTTGTTTGGCATCACCGTTGATGTACTATTCCTTTTCCTTGGAGAAATATTGAAACTGATCTGGGCCATTGAATGAAGTTTTGGCCAATGATAGCAAGGAATGGACCTTCAATCGGGTTGGTTATGGCAGTTCTACCAATCTATGATTGGGATATCATCTCCAAGGTGCTGCTCTCCTGGTCGTTTGCCTTTGATGAATAGGGCTACGATGATTGTTGCTGAAGCAATGATGGAGATGGTCAAATTGCATGCTTTGATACCATGGAGAAAATATTGTATTGTTCCTCATTCTCTTGATCACAAGATGGCACTATAAATTGGGCAAAGGGAAAACCCCGATGCAACGGTCGGGGTGAGGGTCGACTGTATGCAGCCTTACGACCTTACCCTTGTACTTTTTGCAAAGAGGCTATTTCCTAGACTCAAATCCGCGACCTTTCGGTCACAAAGGAACAATGGCGGACTAGTAGTATAAATAGAGAATTAGGAAAAACTGTATACTAATCTCGGACTAAAATATAGGGGAGGCAATAGGAGCTAATAAACACACCTAGCTGTACATAAAAAAAAATAAGAATAAAATAAAATAAAATTCTGTCTGCCACTGTCCCTGAAAATCAGAAGCTGATCACCAACAATCCCCAATTTGATCTAGATTATATTCATAATCCATCCCACTTTTAAGCATAAAATAAAAAAAATCATGGCCATTTGGTTGCCGCAAACTCAAAAGACTTAATAAAAATTTTAAGGCAGCCTCAGAAATTAACTCTTTAGATGAAGCTGAAGATGAGGCTTAATCAGTATATCCCCTCAAGACGAAGATGATTGCATCGGTTTAAAGCTTCAAGAAATGGGACCAAAAGTGTCAAGTCAAAAGTGTTGACAAGCAAGACTAAGGTATTAATAAAATGCAAAAAGCAAAAAGGTGGATTCCCTAACAAAGATAAAACTTACTGAATATTAAGGAATAATATAATATAAAGTAATATAAATACCTTCACCTAACAACTTAAGCTTTAGAGTTGAAATGGTTCTTTATATGGTAACAGAGCCTGTGATCAAGTGGTCATGAGTTTGATTCTTACCGCCCCTTTTAATAAAAAATTTCAGCACAAGCGCTTCAATCCTAAAATGGTTCTTGGTGTAATGGGCATGTGATTTATCCTTGTTTCAATCCCTAAAAGAGCTGTTGATGCGGTGGGCTTGCGTAAATTGTCCACTCTTCAATCCTATAAGCCTCTTGGCGTCAGGAGGTGTGTTAAGGATAATATAATACAAAATAATATAAATGCTTCACCTTACAATTTAAACTTTTGGGTTGAAATGATTTTTTACGTTGAAAAAAGGAAATCTTTCAAGATAATCACTTGGACTCCAAATCATTGGAATTCTGAAGATAAGCATTTCGGATTTCAGATCCTTCAAATCCGATTATTAGCTCTTTCTAGGGAGCAGTTCAGTACTCAAAAAAGGCATTAATTTTCCTTGCGACCAATTCTCTGCCTGACTTCTTGTGTTCAATCCTTTGTGCTCTTGAGGCCTTTGTAATATACAGTAACTTCTGTTTCAAGACCATTTTTTATATCAAGATTACTTTTTGTAAGTATGTTTGTATACTCAAGTCTATTTTCTTGTCAATAATCTACAGTCCTGCTTATATTTCTGTTAAACAAAATTCTGATATGAAATATAAGATGTTTGAACAGAAAATTTGAAATATATTGAAATTTACAAAACTCTGCCCATGTGTGCTTGCATGCATGGCCTGTCCCAAGCCAGGATAAAGGAGGAGGGTTGGCGTCAGGTGTTGCGAACCGGCCGTAAAAAACAGCTATATTTTTATGTGATGAACCTATATGATTTTTCGTTGGGGCGTACCCTTCATAGCGACGCGTTGCACCGGGCCCCGGGTGTAGCGAAAAATGGGCTAGGGTCCTTGCCACAAGGCAAGGCGCTGCATCGGACCCGAGGTGTAGTGAAAAGTGGGCTAGGGTCCTTGCCCCAAGGCAAGGCGCCAGGTCTTCACCCGGATTTGGTGAGAAGTATGCCAGGGTCCCAACACGCAGATGGGCGAGCGTGGCGGGCAAGCACAGCCCAGGGGTTAAGGATGAGATTGGGAAGCTGGAACATAGGAACCTTAACGGGTAAATTGAGGGAGTTGGCAGATGTTTTTGCTAGAAGGAAAGTGAATATTGTTTGTTTGCAAGAAACTAAGTGGGCTGGAGAAAAGGCCAAGGAAGTGGATGGAACTGGTTTCAAGTTATGGTACACAGGTACGAATAAGAGTCGAAATGGTGTTGGAATTATGATCGACAAAAGTTTCAGAGATAAAGTTGTGGACGTCAAAAGGAAAGACGACAGGATTATTCTGGTTAAGCTTGTTGTGGGTGACTTAATCCTGAATATCCTCAGTGTGTATGCACCCCAAATTGGATTGCAACCAACTGATAAAAGCCAATTTTGGGAAGACTTGGAGGAGGTTTTGAGGGGAATACCTCGAGAGGAGAAGATTTTCGTAGGAGGAGATCTAAATGGTCATGTTGGTAAAAGCAATGGAGGTTTTGATAGAATCCATGGAGGTTTTGGCTATGGGACGAGAAACGAGACTGGAGAAGATATCTGGAATGTTGCACTAGCCTACGATTTGATGTTAGTGAACACCTTTTTTCAAAAAAGGGAGTCACACCTGATCACTTATCATAGTGGCCATAATCGTAGTCAGATTGATTTCTTTCTGGCTAGAAGAGAAGATAGAACTTCTTGTGTCGAATGTAAGGTCTACCCTGGAGAGTGTGTTGCTACGCAACATAAGCTGGTAGTCTTGGATGTTCGGTTCAACAAAGTACGTACAATGAAGAAGAGGGCTCAGAATCCAAGGATAAGGTGGTGGAAGCTTAAGGAGGGAAAAACGAGAGAGTTCAATGATAGAATGTTGCACGAAGGACCTTGGGAGTTTGATGGAGGAGTAAATGCAATATGGAATGAGATGGCTAAGTGTATTCAAAATTTGGGAAGGAGGGTGTTGGGAGAAAGCAAAGGAAATGGATTTCATACAAAGGAAACATGGTGGTGGAATGGAGAGGTGCAAGAGGCAATTAAACATAAGAAGGAGTGCTTTAGATCTTTGCATAAAAGTCCCAATGAAGAGAACCTGCAAAAGTTTAGATTGGCGAGAAAAAATGCAAAGAAAGCAGTGCGAGAAGCGAGAGGCAAGGTTTTCGACGAGTTGTATAAAAGTCTTGGGAGCAAGGATGGTGAAAGAGGTATTTATAAACTTGCAAGGATAAGGGATAAGAAAAGTAAAGACCTCACTCAAGTTAGATGCATCAAGGATGAAAATCAAAAACTTCTGGTGAGAGATGAAGATGTAAATGAAAGATGGTTGAAATACTTCAACAAGCTGTTTAATGGGGATGGAAATACAAGCGAGGTGGACTTAGAGGACGCGTATGATGATATGAATAGAAGATTTGTACGCAGAATTAATACACATGAAGTTAAGGAGGCTTTAAAGAAGATGAAGACTAATAAAGCCTTGGGGCCTGATGGTGTCCCTATTGAAGTGTGGAGAGGCCTGGGGGATGTGGCAATAAAATGGTTGACCAATCTTTTTAATAAGATTCTCCAGACGAATAAGATGCCTGATGTATGGAGGAAAAGTATGATTGTGCCTATCTACAAAAACAAGGGAGATATACAGAATTGTTCAAACTATAGAGGCATTAAGCTAATGAGTCATACTATGAAGCTGTGGGAGAGGGTTATTGAACATCGCTTGAGGAGAGATACCAAGGTTTCTGTAAATCAATTTGGATTTATGCCAGGAAGATGTACCATGGAAGCCATTTTCTTGATGCGACAACTAATGGAAAGATACCGAGAAAAGAAGAAGGACTTGCATATGGTGTTCATAGACCTTGAGAAAGCATACGATAGGGTTCCAAGGAAAGTTTTATGGTGGGTCCTGGAGAAGAAAAAGGTTCCATTAAAGTATGTAAAGGCAATCAAGGATATGTATGATGGGGCTACTACATGTGTAAAAGCTTGTAACGGATCATCAAGTTATTTTCCTATCACGGTAGGTGTACACCAAGGGTCGGCTCTAAGTCCTTACCTATTTGCCTTAGTTATGGATGAACTAACAAAAGATATTCAAGAGGAAGTGCCATGGTGTATGCTTTTTGCAGACGATATTGTGCTTATTGATGAGAGCAAGGAGGGTGTTAATAGAAAACTTGAATTGTGGAGAAGCACATTGGAATCCAGAGGATTCACATTAAGTCGAAGCAAGACTGAGTATCTGAAGTGAGTTTTCTCTGGTACAAGATGAGGACCAAGAACCTGTGCATCTAAATGGTCAAGAGGTACCCAAAAAAAATGCTTTTAAATACTTGGGCTCCATTTTACAAAATGGTGGAGAGATTGATGAGGATGTAAATCACAGAATCAGAGCAGGGTGGATGAAATGGCGTAGTGCATCTGCATTTTTGTGTGACCGCAAAATTCCCCTGAAGTTAAAAGGAAAATTCTATAAAACGGCAGTACGACCGGCAATGCTATATGGAGCGGAATGCTGGCTAGCACATAGGCAACATGAGCATAAGATGGGAGTAGCAGAGATGAGGATGTTAAGGTGGATGTGTGGGTACACAAGGATGGATAAGATAAGAAATGAAGATATTCGACGAAAGGTCGGAGTAGTACCGGTAGCCGAGAAGATGAGAGAACATAGATTGAGGTGGTTTGGGCACGTGATGAGAAGACCCATGGATGCTCCTGTAAGAACAGAAGTTTGTTACCAAGAGCTAAACACAAAAAGAGGCAGAGGTAGGCCGAAGCTTACTTGGGGGAAAGTAGTAAAACAAGATTTAATGGAGTGGGATATAGATTGGCGGACAGTATGTCTTAGAAAGGAATGGAGAAAAGCTATAAGTATGGTGGAGGGATAGACTCGCTGTTATTCCTATGTTCCAGATGGTCCTTTTTTAGTCCTTTTCCCCTTCATTTCCCCCACTTCTTCTTGTCCCTTTCTTTTTTACTTTTATTTATTTATATATACATATATTTTTATTTCATTTTATTTTATTTTATTATTTTATTTGTGTATTTTTATTTATTTATTTATTTTTATTTTTTATTTTTTATACTTTTTTTCAACCGTTTTGTATCTTTCATGTGGGTTCATCTACCACCGACCCCAATTAATTTGGGATAAAGGTGTTGTTGATGTTGATGTTGATGTTGATATTGAAATTTACAAAATATGCAATAATACAAGCATGCAAAAAAGTGAGCATACAAATATTGAGCTCAATCTTACAAATATTGAATTTAGATCTTACTTTAGGTGTAAGGTAGGGATAAGGATTACAAATGAGGAAATAGGGAACGTGAGAGTGAGTGATTGCTAGAGAGCTTGAATGCAAGATGCCTTATGGTGAACTAAGGGTCTCCTTAAATAGAGATGCTAAGCTTCAAATGTCAGTTCCTTTCAATTATACTGCGGACTTCCAACTTTTTTTTAATTCCGATCAATGTTCTGAGTAGTTCCCTTTTACTGCAGAGTTTTTGTATTTTGATGGAGAATATACTTCATTACATGCATCAATTAGGTAAATGTCTGAGTTTGGTTCTGTCATCATTTAGGATGGCTAGTCATAGTCATTTATAAATGCATCAAAATCTTCGTCATTATTTTCAACTTCGTACAAATTTAGGTATTCTTATCAAAAGGCATGTAACGGTTTACTTTATTATATATGTTGTTTAAAGGTAACCAATGTTATATGTGGTGCTAACAGCCGAGTCCCTAAATTTCTTTTTCTTCATAAAAGCCCTGAACTTTCTGAAGTGTGACTCAATTTTATTTTATTTTTCTTGATACCTTGTTTCTTCTGTATGTTGTATTGCATACTGTTACAACTCCTAACAGTAAGGCATCCAGTCAGTATGAGGTTAGTTATGGGGATAATAACATGTGGTTAGCTATGGATGTGTTTTGTTAGGTGAGGCTAAAGTTGTTATATAAAGGGTAGGGAATAGTTGCAAAGGGGCATGTGGGATATCTTGAGACTTAGGCATTGGGAGAGTCCAGGGGCTCTATAATTCTCTTGGTTTTATCTTTTCTTTTCTGCACTTTTGCTATTTCTCTTTGTAATCTACCATTGTTGCAAGCTTGGCTATATACCTTTCATTTTTCAATCAATATCATACTAGTAGTTTCCTTTTTTTACTACTTCTTTCCATTTTTGTTATTCAGATCTAATCAATTGGTATCAGAGCTATCTGATCCGGGTAGCTTTGAACCATGGCCACGCTAAAAAATAAGCTATGGAGAAGAGAAGTTCCCAAGTTCTATAAAGATGGTGATGCTTGGGGATGGGTCATCTATAAGGAAAAATATTTCCAGGCAGAAAGAATTCTTGAAGAAGAGAAGTTGACAGAGGCAGTGAAGGGGCTTAGGGGTCATGCTTTTAATTGGTACAAATGCTGGAGTTGGCTCAATCCAAATGCAAATTAGTGGATATTTTTTAGGGCGTTTCTACAGTGATACCTATCGAAGATATGTTTGGAAGATGAGGAAGTGGAATTGGAGCCACCAAAGCTAGAATCGAAACACGGAGAAACGACAGGAAGTCAAAACACGATCTGGGATGATGGAGGGTCGATTAGAGCACTCAATGTACCAACATGTGAATGTAGGAAGAGGTTGAAAATTCCGGCATTTTCTGGCGACAACGACACATACAGATGGCTAAATCGGGTATAACTTTATTTTTTGCGAGATACAGAAGCCAGAACCAGAGTGGCTAACAACCGTGCTGAAGGCCTTGAAGGGGAGAGCTTTTTTGGTGGTCCTAGAGCACCATGCTCCCTTCTAAAAAGAGAAAAGGGAAGGGATTAGGAGGGAATTATGAAAAACTGGAGGGACTCAAATGGAACCACTTTTTTCCATTTTGAGAAAGGACCAACCAATTGTTGGTGGTCCTAGAGCACTAAAAAATTTCTCCTTGGAGGGATGTGTGTTGAACTAGTTCCAATGGTGGATGGGTTGGATGAAGAATGCTACATGGACGCAGTTCCGAGCAGATGTGCTACAACGCTGCTTGTCATCTATGGAGAAGACCATGGTGAGGGCTGCACCGGAGCCAACGCCTCCATTGTCGTTGGCAAAGATGGAGTCAAAAGGCGAGAAGGACCTGAGGGTGGGACACATCATTTGTTATGTTCGAGTTGGACCTCAATATGATATGAGTGATAGCAAAGCCATTGTAGGGGAAGGTACCCATGTCCACAAAATGGAGGCGAGGCATGTCATGGAAGTCAGCTAGCACAAGGAAGGCACACAAAAGAGATGGTGGAGAGAGTTGGGTCAAAAGTAAGGTCGGATCAGTATATAGCCCGAGTCCAAATTAATGCCAAGTTAATCTCGGCCCATTTTAAAGAGAATGATAACTCTGCTACATATGGAGATTGGGCTTGTAAGCCCATGCATCTATCTAAATCAAGTGGCCCAAAAAGAACTTGCATTGAAGAAAGGGTTAAAGGGCGACACAAAACATCTCCAAGGAGGATGACCTTGTTCATCACCTACATGAGTTTGTCGCTGGGGCTTCAATGACAAAGGAAGCAAGAGAGGACGGGAGTTTGGAAAAATGGTGGGCTATAGTTGCATCTGGATTCATGCTGTTCGACTTTCATCCGATTCACAGATAAACACCACACTGCACTCTCTTGCAAAAGGTAATTCAATCAAAGGACATCAAGATGAAACTGTTCCCCAATTTTCTGCCTTCACGGAGAAACACAAACCTCTTGAGGCTGATTCAAATTGTAACACATCCAAATTTTTAACAATTTATAAAACATTCTTATAATAAATAAATTGTCAAAATTCACATTTTTATAATAATAACTCTATTACATTCAAATAAAATCAAAGACTACATTTTGATACATAATATTTTTGACTAACTAGAAATATCAGAGTCGTTATCCTCACTTCCCACTGCTAGCTCGATCCTTTGAAACTTGTTTCACTGAAACTTTGCTCCCCCGCAAGATCATTGCAGTCAAACAAACACAAAAGTCAGCAAAGCTGGTAATCCTAATCAAAATACAATTAATGTAATTAATAATCAAATTAATTCAAATATCAATATATATAATCAAATAGTGATCAAATCAATATTAAATCCGAGGAGGTAGATGATCAGGATTATCACTGTGTAATTAAAAATATTAAAAAACAGACTTACTTGTCAGTGGCAGAATGATGAAACAGACAGAATGAAAGGATGAATATATGCAGTATAAGAGGAATTAAATCCGAGCCCACAGAACGTGTCTCCTTAAGACAATTTGCCCCCTCACTGATGCCTAAGGTTGATGGACACTTGTCTCCCAGGATAGAACGGATTTCGTCTGAAGAATGGTGGCACTACCAATCAACAGCCCAAACGAACACAACAAAATGCCAGAGGAAGTCACACCGGAGGATGAACAACAGTATGCAAAACCGGAAGAAGAAAAATTCCGGCAGAGTTTAAGTGCAGGAAAAACTGGATAGATTTCTGAAGGTGTCAGTGTCTATTTATAGACACTGACCGGTCACGATGAACAGTCGCCGGCGGCGAACCGCCGTGTCTGATGGCGGCGAACGGGTGCGACCGGTGACTGTTCCGACGAACAGATACGACCGGTGACCGGTTCAGCGAGCAGACACAACCGGTGACTGGTTCACGAAGGGAAAGAACCGGTTCGGTTCAATACTGCTCAAAAAACCGGCGGGTAGAAACGTTTTTGGTTGGAGGGAAGCAACGGTAAATTTTTTTTGGACAAAATATTAAAAAAAATAATTTAATAAAAAATTATTTTTTTTATTACACACTATGAACCGAACCGAACCGATCCGAGCCGGCCGGACGGACGGCGGCGGCGGCGCGCGCGTGTGTGGTGAACCAATGCTCACCTAGCTCTCCCCCCTACATAAAACATGTAGTGACCCAAGGGCCAATCTAAGAGAGGGAAGTGGGAGCTTATATACTCTCCCATTTCCTACTAATTGTCCAATGTGGGACTTGTTGAAACCCACACACCTCTTCATCTTCCCTTTTTCTCTTTTCTTTATTAACCCACTTCTTATTCATAACCAATGGATCATTGTACATTAATTCATTCATTAATTCCAACAATCCCCCACATGGATAAGAAGTCAAATCATCGTGACAAAATGCATAAGAGTATAAATGCAAAGTGTAAATTCCTCAACGAGAAACAACTGCATCGAGATAGGTGGAGTTACCTTTGAACCTTCTCTAGTGAAAACCTATCGGATATACTCGGTCAATCGGTGGTCTAGGTCGACTTGAACCGTCAACCTTTAGTGTATACCTAGACAATAGGAGTCACACAATTGCTTCTCTAGCATTGTTGGTCCTTTGTTGCGCCCATTTTGGCCGTGGGACACCTGCCTGGTTCTGCGAGTGTTTTAGAGAATCGGCCTTTAAAAATTCTCATAGAAGCGGCCCTCACTTCACACTCACATAGGTGATTTCTTGTGATGTAAATCACTATACATCATCTGAACACAACAGATTAAGAAATCACTAAAAGCCTTAATGCTTACCCTCATAAATACACTGTCTTGTCTTAGGAATGAGTATGAGTTTAAAAACTCCACAGTGTTTGAACAGTTGACCATTACTTAGTTGTCTCTTTGAACCTAGTTCATGGGATCTCCACTCTTCTAGGTAGAGTTACCGCAATGCTCAACAATTGATAGGCCTTAAACCCATTCCTTTCGACAAATTTTCAACCAACTCTCTAGGAATCCCTTTGGTTAACGGATCCGCTATGTTTTCCTTAGACTTAACATAGTCAATTGAAATGATTCCATTCGAGAGTAGTTGTCTTACGGTATCATGTCTACGACGTATGTGTCTAGACTTACCGTTATACATGACGTTCTTGGCCCTTCCAATAGCTGCTTGGCTATCACAATGTATGCATACAGATGGTACCGGTCTTGGCCAATTAGGAACATCCTCAATAAAATTACGAAGCCATTCGGCTTCTTCACCGGCCTTATCTAAAGCAATAAATTCTGCTTCCATGGTTGACCTTGCAATGCAGGTTTGCTTGGACGATTTCCAAGACACAGCACCTCCACCAAGGGCGAACACATATCCACTTGTGGATCTAGTGTCGTTAGAGCCGGTGATCCAATTTGCATCACAATACCCTTCTATAACCGCGGGGTATTTCTCGTAATGCAAAGCATAATTCTGAGTATACTTCAAGTATCCCAAAACTCTTACCATAGCTTTCCAATGATTCTCATTTGGATTACTGGTAAAGCGACTTAACAGACTTACTGCATAAGCAATATCAGGTCTGGTGCAGTTCATAACATACATAAGGCTTCCCAACACTTGAGCATATAGCTTTTGTGCTGTAGCTTTACCAGTGTTCTTTAATAAACTCAAATTAGAATCTACAGGATTCCTCACAGGAGTTATATTCAAACTCTTGAATTTATCAAGAACCTTAACTATATAGTGAGCCTGTGATAATGCCAACCCTGCAGATGTTCTATGGATTTTAATTCCTAGGATAACGTCCGCTATCCCCATATCTTTCATCTCAAACTTACTTTTAAGTAATTGTTTAGTAGCATTAATCATTTGATTATTACTACCCATGATCAACATGTCGTCTACATAAAGACAGACAATGGCAAAACCTTTTTCAGTATTCCGAACATAGACACATTTGTCACATTCATTAATTCGAAAACCATTTGATAACATAACTTTGTCAAATTTTTCATGCCATTGTTTTGGAGCTTGCTTTAACCCGTAAAGGGATTTTATTAAGCGACAAACTTTCCGTTCTTGTCCTGGAACAACAAAACCTTCAGGTTGTTCTAAATATATCTCTTCGTCCAGGTCGCCGTTTAAAAAGGCAGTTTTCACATCCATTTGATGTATTTCTAATCCATTCAATGCAGCTACCGCGATCAACATCCTGATGGATGTGATCCTTGTAACGGGTGAATAAGTATCGAAGTAATCGAAACCTTCACGTTGCCTGTAGCCTTTTACCACAAGCCTTGCTTTATATTTATCAATAGTGCCATTCTCTTTCATTTTTCTTTTGAACACCCACTTACTTCCTAACGGCTTATTGCCAGGAGGAAGATTTACCAGTTCCCAAGTGTGGTTGGACAAGATAGACTCTATCTCACTATTGATAGCCTCTTCCCAGAATGGTCCTTCCGGGGACGTTATAGCTTCCTTATACGTCCGAGGTTCATTTTCCAATAAGTATGTCATAAAATCAGGTCCAAAGGATGTGGCGGTCTTTTGCCTCTTGCTACGTCTAGGTTCATCTTCTATGTTCTCTACGGTATCAGTATCAGTTGTAGCATCTCGAGGTATCTCAACCTGATCATCATCATTACCACTTGATTCATGTTTTTTCTTATACGGAAATATGTCTTCAAAGAAAGTAACTTCCCTTGATTCAATCACTGTATTAATATGTATATCTGAGACATCAGATTTATACACTAGAAAGCGATAAGCACTACTATTAAGTGCATAACCGATGAATACACAATCCACGGTTTTAGGTCCGATTCTTAACCTTTTAGGTTTAGGAACCGCAACCTTAGCCAAACACCCCCACACTCTAAAGTATTTCAGGGATGGCTTCTTTCCTTTCCATATATCATATGGTATGCTTTTTATCTTTTTGTGGGGCATTCTATTAATAATATAGTTAGCCGTCAACATGGCTTCCCCCCACAAATTCTGTGGTGAACCGGACGTAATTAACATAGCATTCATCATCTCTTTCAGTGTCCGATTTTTCCTTTCTGCAATCCCATTTGATTGCGGTGAATAAGGAGCTGTTGTCTGGTGTATAATACCAGACTCTATACAGAATTCCTCGAAAGGGCCATCATATTCTCCCCCACGATCGCTCCTTACCATTTTAATTTTCTTGTTGAGTTGATTCTCAACTTCACTTTTATATTGCTTAAAAGCAACAATAGCTTCATCTTTACTATTGAGTAAGTACACATAACAATATCTACTGCAATCATCAATAAATGTAATAAAATATTTCTTATTACCCTTAGATGGTGTAGATTTCATGTCACATATATCAGTATGTATTAAATCTAACAACTCGGTTGATCTTTCAACTGATTTAAAAGGTAATTTCGAAAATTTTGATTCAACACATACTTGGCACTTATTATTTAAACATTCAAATTTAGGTAATAAATCTAAATGTATTAAATTCTTAATGGACTTTAGAT